TATTGTTCTCATTCTTATCTGTCCATGCGCGACTCGGTCAGAATCTGCCAGGTTTCTGTGTTTCTTCTTTCTGCTTTACTTCATAACATGTTTTGGTCTAACCAGTCATCATCATAAGTACAGGGTGTGTTCAAGGTGTCTGCGCTGCTTTCTTTTAGATATATTAGATGCTTCTAGATGTTTCATTCAGGTTATGTTACGTCATGCCTTTGTGTCTTAATCATGTGTTTGGTTTATGTTTGTTGAGTATGTTGCGGTTGGTTCTGCATGTTTCCCCAAGTATTTTCTGTCTTTTCTGACTTCATAGCCATGTTTTGAACTGTTTACTTGCATCTGTTGGATGGGAGGAAATTTTCCAGGCAACTACAAATTCTATGCTGGCACCCAAATCTTAGTTATTTATCACCTTTCAGAATGAAGGAATAATATTACTTTGATTTTAATTTTTGTTTGCATGACAGCCAAAGACTGGCATTCCCTCAATATTAAACTGATACCAAAGTAATTAGAAATTAACATGTTTATTTTAGGAACATAATGGCCCAGGTAGGAAAGATTTTGATGCAACACGGTATGTAGAGCACTGGTATTTTAAGTCCACTTGCAGTCAGTATTTTGGCCATGAGTGAATGGTAGTGGTATGTGTTGCACAGTTTGTAATGATTTTTTCTTTGCCTCGCCTAAAATGCCTTCTACAATTTTTGTCACTTTTTTCAGTCCTGAATGATTCATTTGGTTTCTAACTAAAGTGCAGTTTTTAGGCGCCAGTCACTGTCCATTCCTTTGAAGAGGTTGACCATTTTGTTGTAATCATCTGTTCCAATTATTGAACACACATTTAGCTTCATACATTTTAATGTTGTTTTGAAATATCCTCTTCTGTCTATTCAGTTTTACTAAACAAGTGTCCCTTTGTAAGTTTAGCCGCACTTCCATGTAATGAGTACAGGTATGTCTTATAAAATTAAGATTTGATTTCCATGGTTCTTTTAATATACTGTTTACCATCCCACAAGTGTTTTCACACTGACATCTCTAAAGCTGGGTTTACACGGGTCAAGTAAACGGTCATGTAGAGCGGTAAAGTTAATTAGAATATTTTTCTTGCATCGTGTAAACAGTTCCGGCCAAGTCAAGTACCGACTTGTGTCAAGTAGCGAGACAAGTCAAGTAAGCCGGGTTTACACGGGTCAAGTAAACGGTCATGTAGAGCGATAAAGTTAATTTGAATATTTTGCTTGCATTGTGTAAACAGTTCCGGCCAAGTCAAGTACCGACTTGCGTCAGGTAGTTCTGCACGGTGGACAAGTAACTTGACTTGACTGCTACCCCCACCACGAATTTTACTACTTGATCGCCTACTTGACCGCTGACTTTACCAGTGTAAACAAGAGGTGATGCAAGTGAGCAGGCCGGCAGGGCTAATATTACCAGCTTTCTCATATCAGGCATTTGATTCGTATACACTTTGTGTATTTCCTCCCTGGTTTTGTGTAGTTTGTGAATGATGAGGTGGTCAGAAGAAGAAACCATTCGGTTTGTTGAGCTCTACCGTGAAAAAGAGTGCTTGTGGAAGAAGAGTAGTGCCAAGTACCGCAATAAAAACATGAGAAAAGCTGCCGAAGAGGACGTGGTTACAAAGATGGGAAAGCAAGGTTTTGGTGTTACAGAATTGAAACAAAAAATAAAGATAATCAGAACAACTTACAATCAGGAAGCGTTGAAGGTTAAAAAATCTAAAATATCAGGAGCTAAACCGGAAGATATATACGTTCCATCCATCAAATGGTTCGGCCTAATGGAGGAAATAATGGATAACCCCACAGCTGATAATGAAGGGGAAAGCATGGTAAGGCAAAACAAATTAAACTCTTCTTCAAATAAACTTCATTCGTACTCTTGTGGGTAATAAATTCTTATTATTGAATAGTGAGGAGGAAGTATTAAAAAACAAAAATTATGAACTAATTTCCATGATTTGGTATGTTTTAGGCAACCATTGTCTAATGAATAAAATTGTTTTGCCAAGGCACTGCTCCCTCGTTAGAAATGAAGTACTCCTTCAGTCTGTGTCTCAATTGTTTTGCCACCTCTGATGTTCTTTCAGATTCTACACCCGCGAGGCCCTCAACAGGTAAAACGTGCTCTGGAGCTGAAGCACGGCCAAAAAGTAAAAAGTCACGTTTGCAGAGTTTGACTGAAGCTGTCAAAGCACTTAGAAAAGTTCAGGAGACACTTGCAAACACAGATTCTTTGAGTGAAAACGAAGCATTTGGGAAGTTCGTCAGAGCCGCCTTATACAAACTACCTCCTGCAGCTTCAATTATGGCACAAGGTGATATTCAACAAATCCTTCAGACATATCGATTGGTTTCTTTAACCGGAAACGCTTCGGTCAGTTTAGCTTCTGGGTGTTCTTCGCAGATTTCATCAGCAGAAAATCTTTCTTGGGATTCGTCTACTGCAACTACTCCTCATCAAGGCGCATATAGCAATTTCAGCGGAACGAGGACAAGAACGAGACCATCGGAAATATTATTACAGAAGCATGGAATTTGACAAATGAATAATGTGAGAGCACCTGTATTAATGAGAAAGGGTTCTGTAATTATTTCCTGTTGCTAGGAAATTCAGAGTCGCTTCCAGCATTGTTTCTGGTTTAATGGCATCCCTCATGACGGTGTCCTCCCCCTGAAGAATTTGAGTTACTAAATCCAACAAATAGTCAAATTTCTCAGAAGTCATTCTAAGCATCATCCTGTATTCTTGAGATCTTCTGATGTCAACTCTCTTAGCAAGTTGTTGGACGCACCTTGATTTCCTCTTCGCATAAGCCACTCCCGACACCAGATCCTCTTCACAGGATTTCTCTGTTCCTCCAAAACTTGTTCCAGTTCTTCCACGAGAAGATTCATTAAATTTATCAAGCAATTTCGCAGCACAACACGATTTGCAGCCATGTTTCGAAACCACTTGAAGAACTACTGAACTACGTGAAAACACGTGTAGTTAAGTCAAGTCAAGTAGAACAAAACCACGCAAGTGCGGAGGCAAGATACTTGACCCACGACTTGACCCGTGTAAACCCGGCTGTAGTTCTGCACGGTGGACAAGTAACTTGACCTGACTGCTGCCCCCACCACGAATTTTACCACTTGATCGCCTACTTGACCGCTGACTTTACCAGCGTAAACAAGAGATGACACAAGTGAGCAGGCCAGCAGGGCTAATATTACCAGCTTTCTCAACACGATTTGCAGCCATGTTTCAAAACCACTTGAACAACTACTGAACTACGTGAAAACACGCGTAGTTAAGTCAAGTCAAGTAGAACAAAACCACGCAAGTGCGGAGGCAAGATACTTGACCCACAACTTGACCCGTGTAAACCCGGCTTTAGTTTCATCATTTTCAGCTTTAAAAGAAGTGACAAGTTCCTACATAGTTAGAATGTGAAATTTGCTGTTGGTATAAACAAATCTAACAGAACTTTTTGTGGGAGAAATCAGTATTTTTCTTTAGGAACTATTGCCCTTTTTAAATAATATTTTAATGTGACACTATTCATCAAAGAGTTTGTACTCAAAAAACATAGAATGATATTTTGGCCACCAAGGAAGACAAGGAATATCTGTCAGTCACAACGTTTGTTTTCAGTAGTTTATGTTTATTGAAATGTTACTGGGCTACATGTTTTGGTCATTTGATCATCATCGGGCCTTATGATAAAATGTGCGTCATTGTTTGTTACTGAACTGCTTACACAACAGATTCATAATGATGTAAAAACAAGACACTGGAGGCGAATGTCTTCTCTTTATCGGCCTTAGATTAGGGTCCAGTGGTGATCACTTGTGAACACAGTAATGAACCCTTAGGCTCATTAAAAGGGTAGCAGATTCCTTGGCCAAGTTTGAAATTATTAGATTCTTAACAGTAATTCTTTAAAACATTTTGTTCATCATCATCTGCAAGGGTTGAGCTTGTTGGCCTATTCAGTCCTCAAACGTCTAGCCACAATTTTTCAGGATTATAAGTAACCCTTTTACACTCGAGCTGGTCACCAGCCTTTTGCAAATCTCCCTATCTTGGAGGACCTGGGTTTTTATGCAGGGTTTCCCTCCTACAGACAGGGTGCCTACCTGCCACTTAACCCTGGGAAGGGATCCTGCGAGTCCTGCAGTTGGACTGTCTCTTCTGAGAGTTCCAGCATGTAGCTTTTAAACATTTTGCTTAGGTTTGAATGTTTGTAATTACATACCAATTTTACACAGAACAAAAAGAAAATGTGGGGCACAGAACTGTATAAACAGGCATATAGGCCTCTGTAGCTGTTTCAGGAGGCAGCTTCAGGTATTTTGTCCAGAAATTGCATGTGTTTGGGTTGTTTCTGTAATAATGGATTGCACTGTGCTAAGGGCCTTCTCTCTTGCATGCCAGTGGTGTGGTGAGAACCATTAATGGAATATTAACTAACCAACTCCATGGAGCTGAGTCCTTCTTGAGAAGCCGCCAGTTGCTCAGGTACTCACGAATTTCCCAACATTTTATGGAACCCCACCCTCCATTAGTTCATACCCTGAGTCAGAGCAATCCAGTGTATACCACTCCATCCTGTCTAAGAACCATCTGAATTTTATCCTCTCACCTATGTCTAGGTCTTCCTAGTGATCTCTTTCCTTCTAGCTTTCCCACCAATATCCTGCATGCATCCCTCTTCTACCTGATTCTTGCTCCATGGCCATCTCATCTCTGACTTTATCATTCTAATTATACCTGATGAATAGCATAACATATAAATTCATTTTGTAATTTTTAATGGAAAGCTACAATCTAAAAATCATTCTTCCTCTGCTCAGGCTGCAGCTGCAACCCACTTGAAGCTCAAAGCCAAAGGCTGCTCGTGGGAAAGAGGCCCGTAACCGCCACAGTCCTGCCCCATTAAGGGTAAGTAATTTCACACCATACACTGTGGAGCTTCTCTAAATTTTGCCCTTTTTCAATGAATTTCTTTCTCAGTACCTTTGGGTGGGGTGGGGCTGATCACCATGTGGCCTAGTGTATCAACCCAGGAATGATGAACCTTGCAACTCACCAAATTCAGATAAATAAACCCACATAAAAGGCCATGAAATAAACTAAATTTTATGGTCATAACAGTTTGTCAGTTGTATGTGAAGTGAAGGAAATTCCATGGTTTATATCCAGAAGACCAAGTCATGGCAGTGTAACATTTATGTGTGGTGTGGAGGAAATACCATAACTGAAATCCAAAGTATCGAGTCATGGCTGTACAACAGTTATATTACAGTGGCATTATGGTGTTGCATTTGTACATGCATGTGTGTGTGTGTGGGGGGGGGGCTACCTTCTCTATAGGAGATGTAGATCAGCTTACTCTCTGGGTGGCCCCTCTAGTTTTATGGCTCTGTGTGGTCCATGTCATTAAAGGAAAGTAGTCTGTTAGGTCCTGCCAGAACCTCTTGTTTGTATTTTTAAAATGTCAGTGAGTCCTGATAACATAGGGATATTATTGAACATTATATGCAGGGGCCAGGTTTGCAGAGTCTAGTGCAAACCCTCCTCAGTAAGCCTACAGTATATAACCGAAATATGCTAATTTAATAACACATTATTTGATAATATTGAGATAGTATGAGGTTTGCCGCAATGCAGCCTCAGTGACCTTAGAAGATTATTTCCTGTTGTTATGTGTATGTATTAAGATATGTCACGCATAGTTCATATTCAAGAAGTCCCAAGGTTGATTCTCATCCTGAAGGCTTCTTGTCTTGAACAAGATGCTTCCGTGATTTTCCTAAATCCTCCAGGCAAACACCGAGATAGTTCCTTACACATACCCTAATGACATCCTTGCAGATCCTTCCCAATTTGTAGTTTCCATTTGACTCTGAATTCAACACTATATGTACTATGCAAACTAAGTAACAATTGTTAAATAAGCTGAGAATTATTTCTTTTCTGACACTTACTGCTTTGTATTTTGGATAAAATTGTCTCTTGTATTATTTAGCCTTAACTAAGCAGACTGTTAATTCTCCATACCACCTAGGACTAGGCTTTGAAATAAGGGGGCTGATGGAAGCATTGTTTTATGGTTTGCAGATATTGGCAATGGAGGATGTTCACACCAGTCCATGCCCTCAATTCATAAATGATGTCAGCGCTGCAGTAAATTGTGACTATGTGACCTTGATGGATGACCAGCAATTGCCATATGTGCAGGCACCTGGTTTAGAAATTACCAGCATACTGGTCTTTCCATAACCTTTGCCACCATCAGGTAGTGGTCAGTATCACAATCTGCTGCCCTGAATGAGCAGACTTCAAGTATACTTGAGTGCCATCTCTTATCTATCAAAATATGGTCTATTTGATTGTGTATCTTCCCATCACGAAATGTCAAAGTAAATTTATGGATGATATGACGTGGGAACATTGTACTTTTGACAGTAAGATTTTTTGATGTGGCCATGTTTACTACTCTAACTCCATTATCATTACTAATTCCATGCAAACTCTCATTCCCAATTGTTGGTTTGAAAATGTCTTCCCTCCCTACTTTGGCATTGAAATCTCCTAACAAAATTTTCATGGGGTACTTCGGGAACTTTGTTGTATCCCAAAGTTCCTTGCTGGATGCCTGGCGCTGGCATATCGTGGATGTTACCAGTACGCAAGTCAGGTCTGGTGCTCCCTAGGCTGGGCACGCGTGGAAATCGCTGGGGATCCGGGTTGACAGAGGAGGATCGATCCGACGAGTGGTGTAATCAGCAGTTATGTTTATTAACTAATTTCTGTTGATTACACATATATGCCACATCTGAGGACTGATAGCTAGGGTTCCAGGAAGGGAAGGCTGTCTTGGCTCTACCTAGCCGCTATCTCGGTCAACGACTAGTCTCTGACTCGTGTGCGTCAGCCTGGGTTTTTATTCTTTGTTTTTAATAACACCACCAGTCGTAAGGAATATTTCAGAGCAGAGCTCTGTTAGTTTGCTTGCTTATGTCTCGCCCCTTTTTTTGTGGGCTTCACTCCCTGCACCCTGTTTGTACATGCTTTTTTAGCAGCCACAGCTGCCTAAGACGGAGGTCACGCGTCTGACCCCCTTGGTTATCTCAACTGCATGCTTGTGTCCTCATGTGTCGCTACCATTTCTGTTACATTTCTATTAAAATTAAATGCTAATGAAATAACATAGCGTATACAACACCTTTACCAAATGAAATAGTTCTTATATAACAATAATGCATATACAACAATTTATCGAATACATGTTCTAGTTCTTCATAGTCATCAATTTTATCTTCTGTTGGGACGTGAACATTCATAACAATGATATCACACCAGCGACCTTTTAGTATTATATATGATATCCTATCACTAATGAATTCTACCCTCTTAACTGCTGATACGATTCTCTTATGTACGAAAAAACCTGTACCTAATTCATGATTTTCATTCCCCTTACCGTAGAAAAATGTATAGTCTCCTGCTGGTGCAATGCCACCTCCATCCCATCTGACCTCCTGTACTCCCGCTAAATCTAACTTACATCTTAAGATTTCTTCTGCCACTGACCTGAGTGAACCTGCCCTATACAAACTTCGTACATTCCAAGTACCAAATCTCATATCCATTTTCATTAGCGTAGGTTGTTTAGCCAAGGAATCCATCCAGGTCCGAGGCTTTGTGTTCATTTTCGTAACATAATGATTTTTTACGGTGAGGAGTTGTTAGCCCCACGCCCGACCCCCAAGCTGGAGGGCCACCCCTTGTCTGCTGTCCGCGACTGCATATTCAGTATGTTCACAGCTTCCTTCCAAAACTGGAGGGCGTCTCCTCCATCCGCAACCTGAGGATGCGCCATGCTATGGTAACAGGGATCCACCTAACAAGGGCCAGCTCAATTAGAATAAGAAAATTGAATTTCATAGTGACCTGATAATTGTACATAACTTTGATAATGTGCAGAACTGGGCTGTGGAGTGTCTTGTTTTTGTTAATTGTTGAGCACTACATGAAAGTGTTTTAGCCCTGTGTATGGCAGAAATGTGAAAGTCTAAAACATCCCTTAAGTTTGAAAGATTTAACCATGAATAAAAGAATTTATCCTAGAGAAATAAGCTGTGGACTAGGTCTGAAGGAAACCTCAAATCTTACATAGGTGTGAAGGGTTCCCTTGTCTGTGATATAATGCCATGTAGTCCGCTGAAAGTCAACCGACATTTCGGAGAAACATGTCACCTATATCTTCAGGGTTGAAGAATAAGTCAAGCAAGAAACCATCCTGAAGCTCCGAAACCCCTGTTGACTTTAATGGACTACACGGCATTACTTCATAGAAGACAGAACTCTTCATAACCAAATCGGTGAGAACCTCAGAATCTGTATTTAGTCTCTCTCCAGGTACGTACTGATACAGGGTTTGTCCGAAAAGTAATGTCAGTGAGTCGATTAAAAAACTTTTATGGATTAGATCGGTGCAACACATTAAAAGGCTTCAAAATAGGCTTCTTCTGCGTCGATACATCGATTCCAGCGAGATTTCTAGGCATCGAAGGCGTCATGGTAGGCCTCCTCCGGAATGTCCTTTAGAGCCTTGGTGCAAGCCTCTTTGACTTCGCCAACTGTCCCAAAATGATGTCCTTTCATGAGAGTTTTCAAGCGCGGAAACAAAAAGAAGTCTGGGGAGCCACGTCAGGACTGTAGGGCGGCTGGGGAACCGTTGGCACCTTTGAATTGGTCAGGAAGCGGGTCACGAGGAAGGCGGTGTGGGCTGGCGCATTGTCATGGTGAAGTTTCCAATCGTCCGCGATGTCGGGCCGGATGAGACAAACACTTCGTTTGAGTCTCTTTAGCACTTCCATGTAGAATTTGGCGTTGATGGTTGTACCATGTAGTACAAACTCACATTTTCGTCGGTGGTGCTTGTTGATGGCCGTCCAGCGCGGGCTTCATCGTCGACCTCTTCACGGCCTTCTAAAAAGGCCCTGTGCCACCGGTAGACCTGACATTCCGACAAACAATCATCACCGAAGGCCGTCTTTATCATGGGAAAAGTTTCCACTGCAGACTTGCCAAGTTTCACACAAAACATGATGGCAATCCTTTGTTCCAAGGAGCGCTGCATTGCGGCTTGCACGGGAGACAAAAACGAGTTTCACGGAAAAGCCTTTCGTCACTCTCAGGAAGTTCGGAGACGACTAAGCGACCGCGGGTTCATAAGCTGACTTCCCCCTCCACCGATCCCAACCGGTCTGAGAGTGCTGCGACATATAGTCACTTCACAATAAAATAACTGACATTACTTTTTGGACAAACCCTGTATAATCATTATATCCCATATCCTGTGTGGCTGTAATGTTCTAAGTCTGTGATTTTCCACCTTGCGAAGCAAGATCCTCATTTTATGCGGTCACAATGGAAAAGAACCTATTGCAAAAGGAAGAAGTATTCAACAAATTAAATGTAGAACTAGAACTGAAAACATAGGAACTATATTACTAAAAGAGTTTGAAGGCGTAATGGTGTGTATGTTTTCCTGAAGGTCAATTTTCTGAGATATCTTTATTCCATTTTTTTTTTCAATTTTAACATTAATATTCTTTGTTTTAATTTCAGAAAAATCAGGAGAGATTTTCAAAGAACGAGAATTTCACATGCAAAAATGACCAGCTTCCAGCAAGATCTAGGCATGGCTTTTATCTTATTTCAGCTACTGAATTTAAATTATTGAGGTCTGAATTGTGTAACAGATTCTGTTTTTGTTGGCTGTTGTGACACACCGTGTCACTGAATGAGTCTAGACAAAAATCAGATATCAGTTCCCATATAAGTAGTTCTGCTGAACATGGAAAGGATAGCAGTGCCAGAAGTGTCAGAACTGAACCTCCGCACGTAAACAAGGTGGATTCAGTGAGCAGGTAAATAGGGAACATTTTGGATCACGTTTGGTTAAATCCCCTTGTTAGTGTCAATTGAATCTAAATTTTGTCCAAACAATTGATTTAAACTAACTAAAATTGATTCTTTTAATGGTCAGTTCATCATGTATCATAAAATTCTCTTTCAGCGACCACTATAAAATGCTAGTATATGAGTTCATTAACAGTTTCAAACTGGTTAGCATTAATATGAAATAGCTAACACCATGGGTCAACGTCTCAGATAATCAATGAATTTCCTGCCCTTTATGTAACTTGAAGGGTTATTACCATGTTTGCAAGAGCCGGCCACTGCTTCCTAGCCTGAGACAGGTCAACCAGTTAACTCCCCTCACCATATTTCTTAAACATTCACTTCAGTGTCCTACAGTTTTAAGTATTCAAAGTACTAAGGGTGTTCTGTATATAATGCCTCCTATTTTTTTTTAAAGAAGACTACAACAGATATGGAAATCATAATAATGCAGTTAAATAGAGCAGGCTTTCAGCTACATACAGCTATTTTTCCACATAATCACCACCATTCGTTATGCACTTTTGCCATCGATGAACAAGAGCCTGTATGCCGCGCCCGTTAAAGTCTGCGCCAGCAGAAGCTAGCCACTTTCTTACAGCTACAATGACAGCATCGTTGTCTGGAAAATGTTGCCCACGTAGTCCGTCTTTCATAGGCCCAAAGAGATGGAAGTCTGAAGGTGCTAAATTGGGGCTATAAGGTGGATGTGGTAGGACAGTCCAGCCAAACTTTGCAATGTGTGCGGTGTTCGCCAAACTGGTATGGGGTCTAGCGTTATCGTGTTGCAAGCGAAAGGTTTTCTGCTTTTCTGGCCTGACTTGGGAAATACGGGCTTTCAGCTTAGTCACCGTTGTCTTGTAGCGCTCAGAATTGACAGACTCAAATATCACACCCCGCCTATCCCAAAAGATCGTGCACATCACTTTCCCTACCGATGGCTGTGTCTTGAATTTCTTTTTTCTTGGGGAATCCGGATGTCGCCACTCCATGGACTGCCTTTTGGATTCCGGCTCGTAGTGGTGACACCACGTCTCATCTCCGGTGACAATGCTGTCCAGAAACTTGTCACCTTCAGCTTCAAACTGGTGCAACAGTTCCTGACAGACTTCCATTCGATGAGTTTTGTGGTCCTGTGTAAGCATCTGCGGGACCCACCTGGAACAAACTTTGGGATAATCCAGCTTCCCCAACATCATTTCCAATGCATTACAGCCGATATTAAGCCGTGCCCTGGTCGTTATCCACCGATCTGAATGGATGAGCTGATCGAGGTGCTGTTCATTGTGAGGAGTAGCATCTGAGCAGGGATGCCCATGGCATTGCTTGTCGTGCACTTCATTTTCATCACTGTTGAAACGCACTACCCACCGCCTCACTGTGCTGACATCAACTGTATCGTCTCCGTACACCTTTAGCAAGCATTGATGGATGTCAATGGCTACAATTTGTTCGGCAGTGAGAATTCAATAACACATCTCTGTTTCGTATGCACTTCTATGTCAGACGCCATTTTGGTAGACTGCTCCGCTGTCACTATCTGTCGCACGACAACCAAACTAAAAGTACATTGGCTGGAAGGTTCAACCTTTATTACAACACCACCAACATCCAGCTCAGACGTTACATATTAACACACAGGAATATAGGAGGCATTATATACAGAACACACCACGTAGCTCTTCCCTTCAGGTTTTCTGACTAAATTTTGTATATATTTGACATTCCCTCACATGTGCTTCATGCTCCATCTCTTCCATCCTATTGATGTGATCATCCTAATAATATATGACAAAAATATAAATTGCAATTTTCTCCAGCTTCATGTAAGTTCTCACAGGTCCAAATATTCTTAGCATCCTGTTCTTAAACACCCTAAATTAATTTTGTTCCTCTAATGTGGAAGAACACCTTTCACAACTATACAAAACTATAGACAAAATTATAGTTTTGTATATTTTAATCTTTATGTTTCTGGACAGCAGATGAATAGAGAAATAATTCTGAAGAGACTGGTAGCAACTATTCCGCAATTAATCTCTTAATTTCTTCATTAATAACATTTTTTTTGTCATTGCCTAGTAAATGACTGGGGTGTGAAGTTGCCCACTCACCTCCAGCTAGTGCCAAGTACAAGAATGTGTGAATCTATGGATCCACTCCCCCATGTCTTCATGGTGTAGTGCTCAACTAGTTAAGCACAGGGACAATTTTACCTTTTTTTTCCCAGTATCCTGGTATAAAAACATGAACATAGTTAGGTATCACTCTACTTCTGTGGCAACTACCTTAATAGGATTTAATATTATGTTGATTTGTTAAGGTATTTATGTTTTCACCCCAAAAAAATAAATTACACAGAGACGGTCTTATCACCTTGTTGTAAGAAACTATTTTTTTTTGCATGTATGTTTTTTCTTGTAGTATTAAGCCTTTAATTTTTTCCCTTATATAGTGTTTGTATCCCTCACCATGAAAGAATTGAAGGTGAAATTCTTCCTGAGGCCAGTAATGGAATGGGGGCAGAGAACATTATTCGTGTCCTCAGAACCAAAATAAAGGGCTTGCAGAACGAGATGGAAGCATTACAAGTTGACCGTAATAAACAGGTGAGTCACTAATTTAGAAAGAGTTGCTTGAGTCATTTGTCAAAATGTAAGTTTAATAATTACCTATCTCAATAAGTACAACATGCCTAGACTGGGCAACTGAGTACTGGGATTGGATTTCTGAATGTGTCAGAGATTTTTCGCATTTCCATAGTGTCCCTACCAGTTCTGAGGCCCATCCAGTCCTAACCAATGGGTACTGTAGTTTCTTTCATTGAGGGTACAGCAGCCAAGGCATGAAGCTGATAACTTACCTCCCATCCAGTGCTGTTGGTAATGCCTGGAGTTACACATCTGCTCCCCCATATGTCATCACGGTGCGGTGCTTAATGAAGCACAGAGGCAACTCAACTTTTATGTATTGATCTACTTGAATATCTGAAGCTACTTAGAAAAAGTTGAATACTCTTCTAAAAAACAGCACATATGTCAATGATAATTTTTACTAAAATAGTTACTGTATTTAATTTATTTCCATCTGTGCTATGACAGGGCCAAGTTAAGTTTATGGTATATTGCTGTCATTTCACTCTTCTACGGTGCAATTTAAATTGCAGGGATATCAGAAGTACTGAGAAATTGGCTCAGCCTAGCAACATCAGAGAAATGAATGAAGGTATTCCCCTAAATATATTTAGCTATACTTTAGAAGCTGAAATAACATGCACTGACATTGCTTGCTTACAGACGCATATGTGCACAGATTATTTATTAAAATTTGAAAGGCAAATAATGATATAAAAATAACATTAAAAAATACTGACATGCTTAAATAAAATGTAAACTTGTCTTTATCACTGCTTGAACTCAAAGTCAGACATACAGTTTCCACAAAATGGGGATCAATTTGTATGTGTTAAGATGGGACTTTACATGAATACTGTGATTACACTCTCTTCTTATATGTTCAAATTAGGCTTATTGGTGACCATGACAATGTACTTCCTTAACCTGTGCAGGGAAATGCATTTTCACTAAGCAACATTAAGACATATTAACACGTTCATCACATTTTGATACAAATTTTTAGAATCCCTAAGCTTGAAAAAGCTATGGAAGTTTGTTTGTTTGTTTGTTTGTGCAGATGAATGCAGGTTTGCCTGGTTTCAAACAATTTCTCTGAGAACAATAAAAAATTTGTTTTTCTAAATTTCAATCTCCATTAATTAATTTCAATTAGAATGGCCATCTCGAAGTTCTGAATGTTTGTAAGCTTCATTCGCTGTTAAATGGATTGAAAAACGGAAGTTTTGAAACAAATCTGTAAGCCAAAATATATTCTGTAGTCTAGTTTTCTTTAATGTATTAGGCTTCTAGTGGGAGTATGTACTTTTCTGGTGTTTCTGTACAAGAATGCACCCTTTTATCTCAATCCTTTTTCTATATCCGTTTAAAGCATTTATTCAGGTCTTTACTAAGTTTTATTCAAACAAATTACATTTGATAATCTTTGGAGGAGCAGTCTAAATATTTAAATATATTTGTGAGGGTAACTCTAATAGGTATATAAACAGCAAAAAGCAGGTTAGTTGTCTGTTCACTATTCAAGGCCAATAAAAATCTTTGTTTCTTTACTTTCTCAGAATTATATGAGCAGAGCACTGTAATTAGTGAATTGGCCATTTTCTGTTCATTTCTTATTTTTCATATTTCTTTGTCGAAAGATTTTTTTACATTTGTTTCAATGCTATATTCTTAGAATTGGAGATTTTTTTTTTCACACAGGCAGGTTTATTCATATTTAACGTTCTGTTTCAGTCAGATCTTGCTGTAATATGCTTCATTTTACCAGGATAGTCTGAAGGAAACCGTGAAAACTTGGTATTTCTGGCTTCAGGCAGTATGTAACTGATTGTCTCCTGAATGTAGCTGTGTGCTGCTATGTTTGTACACAGACGGAGGCCTGTAGGAAGCTGCAAGTAAAGGTGAAGGCTCTGGAGGATCGCAACAAGTGGCAGCAACAAGCAGGAATGCTCAGAGATTCTCTAAAGAAGCAAGAGATATTGCACTCCAGCACTGTGGCAAAACTCACACAGCAAGAGTCTGAGAACTTGTCCCTCAATAAGGTACACACTGTAGAGAAGGTTAAATAAAATAGAGGTCTACTAATGAAATCCTGTACATCTCTCTTGTATTTGTGTGAAAAGCACCATTCTGGGCCAACAGGATTCAAGAAATTTGTCAGGTAATTTTAGCAGGAATTGCCTTGACAAATCAACCCAGAGTTCAGCCTATTTCCAGCTCACTTTATCTGGTCAGGCCACACCTCCTTCTTCATGATTTGTCTGTATTCTAAAAATTATATATATATATAAACATATTAAACTTACCATAACACTGGTATTCCTATCTAATATGGTGGAATGGCTAATGGTTCATCATCGTTGTTAACTTTGTGTTTTGTGTCTTGCAAATTGATAATATTTGGCTCTGATTTCCCCCCCCCCCTTTTTTTTTGTAATCCTCTCCTGCTGGTATTTTGCATTCTCTGTGTATGGGGCCCAGACATTGTGAGTCTTATATTAACTTCCCCATTCACCAGTGTCTCCACATCTGCTAGCATGGACTCTGCTTGTTGCTTGCTTCATTTATTCATTGATTCTGAAGATGGAGGCAGTACATTTCTCTGAAATGTCAATAAACTTCTACCAGACTACAGGATGTCACTTTCAGAACACAGTACTTTTCATACTCATTGCCATAAGAGCCTCAAATCTCACAAAAATACTGTTAACTTACACGAAAAAAATTGGATATAAGAAACTTGTGGAGATAACTTGGGACTCGCAGACATAGATGGGAGGATAATACTAAAGTGGGTCTTAGGGAAATATGCCATCAGGATGTTAATGAGTTTTGTGTCAACAGTGCTGAAACTTTGGTTCCCTAATATCAAACATCTTTGGAACGGCTGGGGAACTGCTGAGTACTTAGAGCCAGGTGGATTTGAAGTCAAAAGTGGGAAGATAATGGCTTTTGATTTCAGGAACTGGAGTCTGTCAGGAGAGAATTGCGGACAACAGTGCAGTCATATAAAGCGAATGAGGTGCAACTGGACCGCTCACTGGAGGAGCTGAAAAAATTATGAACCATTATGCATAACTATGAGCATGACGACAAAGAACTACGAGATGTCACACACAGGAAGAGTGATGAGGTAGCCGCAGTCGTGAAGCAGCTTGAGAAGCAGAAGTCTGAGTTGCTGCTTGGGTTCAAGAAACAGATGCAACTCATTGACAACCTTAAAAAACAGAAAGTAAGTGAAAATGTCTGTGATTGGGCAAGAACTCAGAAAACACAAGAAATAATCAATGAGGAGAGTTTTGTCCTTGTGCCCTGAAAGTTATATTCATGGATATGAAAATGAAAATAGTTTACCACTCACTGTACCAAATATGTATTTTATTTAGTGATACATTTCAAAATTAACTAGAAATTATGTTGAGACCTGAATGACTTCGAACATGCAGAAACCAACATTCAGTACCTGGGGCCTAATGCTTTGATATAGTAGTTTAAAAGACTGAAATAATGGGAAGCTTGTCATAGTTCAGGAAATTGGTGAAGAAAATTATATCAGGCACTGAAAAGATATAATAAATAATAAAATGTAGTGTTTGCATGATACAGAAAAGGACAATGAAGAAAGTAAAATTACATACCAATATCTTCTATTCTATTTTTATAGTTTATGGCACAATATTTCAGAGGAGCCGGGATAGAATAGTCCGTATAGCAACTAGCTATGGGCTGGACGACTGAGGTGTCGGAGTTCAAGTCCTGGTAGGGTCAAGAATTTTCTCTTCTCCATGTCGTCCAGACCGGCTTTTGGGTCCATCCAACCTCCTATCCAATGGGTAACATGGGGGCTCTTTCCCCTGGGGTAAAGCGGCCGGGGTGTGAAGCTAGTGCCAAGATCAAGAAAATGTGGGTCTATATGTCCACTCCCCCATATTTCTTCATGGTATAGTGCTGAATTAGTTAAGAACAGGGACAACTTTATCTTTTACAATATTTCATATCATGGTTGGTACACTCATAAATAAAGGCAGGTTAGGGTATTTCAAAATAAGTTATGGCTTTGTTTTTGTACTTTACCACAGATGGGATGTTTAGACACTGCTCCACCCAACGGT